CAACTGATAACACGATCCCAGCAATGCCCGCAGTTCCAGCGATCAAGGGAACTGAAAATTGAGCCGAAGCCTTGTGAAGTGTCTCATCGTCACCATCAGTGGCCCAGGGGTGGGTCACCTGTGTGAAAAATAAAAAATAATAATAATCAACTCATTAGTTCCATTAACTGCTGCTGCCCGGAAAAGGAGCCCGTGCTCAAGCGTGGGAAATCAAGTACCAATTAACGCATAGGAGGCGCGGTGGGCTAACTCCTTGTTTTGCCCTGATGAACCTTGCGTTAGTAAAAATCTGATTTATCATCGCAATAATTTTAACAGCAGACTGGTAATGCGAATAAAGCGGGAACAAAGAAAATCACATCAATGTGTCATTTAATAGAAAGAATTGAAGTGCAATCATTATATATAGTGCTGTGCAACAGTAATGCAAGGGAATTTCGAGGAAGTTAGCACTTTGTCTATACTCGAATTAAATTGGGACGAAATTTCTTTAAAATTTTGAAAGGTTTCGAAACACCTCGAAACGAAATTTGAAGTAATTTTGACGGACAACGATGCTGAAAAACGCCTGTACAAACCTTAAACGTTGTTTTGGGAACTTTAGTGGCAGTCGGTATCGTCTGAGATTTTCTTATCCTTGTAGCTACAATGCGAGAAGTGGGAATAACTGCCTCTGAAAATAGGCTATGTACTGTCGCTGTTGTTGTTGTTGTTGTTGTTGTTGTTGTTGTTGAAGGTATTCCAGTTGCTAAAATATGCTTGAGGGGACCTGTGAACGTCAAAAGAAATCACATTATACATAGTATAGTAGAAGTCTTTTTTTTTTCTTTGTGGGACCAACCTTTAAGATGTTGATCAAACACTTATGGATAAATGTGTTACTTACACTGCATAACACCAGCAACCTTGAATAACAAACAAAATGGCTTCTTTTGCAAAGGACCGCGTGGAATGGCAAGCTTTATAACTCTTCCTTCCAAATGCATATGGTCCTTGGGTTTCAGTTTAGCTTCATCTATCTGGGAATAAGAACATCGTTGGTAAACACTATGTTACATACTTGAGTGCCTTAATTAACTATCAGCTACCTGTACATTGGGAGGAATAAACTCGAAAAAAATCACGTGACCAAACAGACCTGGGAGAGGCTACCGTTTGAAAAGATCAGGGATGCTCGTCGGAAAATTTGAATTAAACTCCTAAGGGAGACCAATCTGAGCGTGGTTCAGGTTTTATGTTGATTCCTATAAGATACCACGGATATTACAGCCTTTGTCGTTTCGTCCTGAGCACCCTAGTATGACCAAAATCATTGATTTACACTCCTAAGCGAGACAACGAGCATCCTCGGCCTTGTAACATGGGAGTGCCCCTAGCAAACAGACCACACTTTCGCGAGTGTACTTTGAATTTACAACAGTCCTATGCTGATCTAGTCACTATGTACGTCTTATTTCAAATCTTGGTTAATTGATTCTAATTCACTTTCCAACATTGATTTCAAATCCAGCTAATTCCCCGTTCTTTAGCTTTTCTTCCTCAACATACATCCCCAAAATCATTTCTAAAAATTCTTAAACATCCCCTGCAGTGACGAGAACGTTTTAACGTTGAAGAAAACATCAAGACGATTATGCGGGAAGATCCGTGCCGAATCGTATCACAAAAAAGTATTCGTATAATCCGCTTTTTTAGTTTGTTTCAGCCAGATTAGTCGTCACCGACTAGAGGCAAATGCTTCATTGCCTCTACTAGTTGTCTAACAGGATGTAATCATTTTCCAGTTAAGTATCACATGCATTTGAGCTGAAGAAGGACAGAAACGATCTCCTAATATGTCGATTCAATTTCCGTTTCCCCTTACCTTAAGCATATACGTGTAATTATTCGTTAAAGGTGTCCATAGTTTTGTCACTTGAAGTTCCGGAACAGAAGCCGTGTTGTTTATCGATCTCCATCCACCGTTGCATGCTTGATAGCTGAATTCGAAGCGCGCAGTTTTTACGAAGCCCTGAGTACTGAGGCTGATGTCAAAAGTCGCGCTTTCTCCTACTTTAAACACTCTCAAAAGATCTGTATCTGTTTCAGTGATAAACTGAATCCTTTTGCAATCTAAACAAGAACATAATAGTTAACATTTAACACTTAATGACTTGTCCCGAGGGGAACAGTGAGTTTTGTTTCCCCAGAATCTCAATGCTTCCCGAGACCAAGTCGAGGGAAACATTGAGATTCCAGGGTAGCAAAATTCACTGTTCCCCAAGGGACCAGTCATTAAGTGATTTGTTATATTGCAAAACAAATGAATCAAGCCGGTTGAAAACAAATAGTCACTTTATTGACAAATGACGTGCTACAGCGGTCAACATTTCGCGGGTAACAGTGAACTGTTTCCCGTTTGACGTCATAGTTTTCGCAATGTTGCCCGCTAATGGAATTTGGCGGGAAACAGTTTATTTGTTAGATGTCATGTGACCATGAACTAGCCAATGAATGGGTGCGATGTAGCGGGAAAAACGCCAGCTATATAACAATGTCAATTATTAGATCGATATAGCGTTGAAATATGCAGATGAGAGAGAGAATAGCTGGTTACATTGAAATAAACTTTNATTTTCCAGTTAAGTATCACATGCATTTGAGCTGAAGAAGGACAGAAACGATCTCCTAATATGTCGATTCAATTTCCGTTTCCCCTTACCTTAAGCATATACGTGTAATTATTCGTTAAATGTGTCCACAGTTTGGTCACTTGAAGTCCCGGAACAGAAGCCGTGTTGTTCAGCGGTCTCCATCCACCGTTGCATGCTTGATAGCTGAATTCGAAGCGTGCAGTTTTTACGAAGCCCTGAGTGCTGAAGCTGATGTTAAAAGCCGCGCTTTCTCCTACTTTAAACACTCTCAAAAGATCTGTATCTGTTTCAGTGATATACTGAATCCTTTTGCAATCTAAACAAGAACACAATAGTTAACATTTAACACTTAATGACTTGTCCCGAGGGGAACAGTGAGTTTTGTTTCCCAGAATCTCAATGTTTCCCGAGACCAAGTCGAGGGAAACATTGAGATTCTAGGGTAGCAAAATTCACTGTTCCCCAAAGGACCAGTCATTAAGTGATTTGTTATATTGCAAAACAAATGAATCAAGCCGGTTGAAAACAAATAGTTATTTTACTGACAAATGACGTGCTACAGAGGTCAACATTCCGTGGGTAACAGTGAACTGTTTCCCGTTTGACGTCATAGTTTTCGCAATGTTGCCCGCTCATGGAATTTGGCGGGAAACAGTTTCNACAAATGACGTGCTACAGCGGTCAACATTTCGCGGGTAACAGTGAACTGTTTCCCGTTTGACGTCATAGTTTTCGCAATGTTGCCCGCTAATGGAATTTGGCGGGAAACAGTTTATTTGTTAGATGTCATGTGACCATGAACTAGCCAATGAATGGGTGCGATGTAGCGGGAAAAACGCCAGCTATATAACAATGTCAATTATTAGATCGATATAGCGTTGAAATATGCAGATGAGAGAGAGAATAGCTGGTTACATTGAAATAAACTTTTGGTTGTGCGGAAGCTTGTCCTATTTAAATTTTCAGATACCTTCCGTCAATCTCTGTCCCAGCAAGTTTGGGTGATCGTGGTTTTAAATTCCATCATACTTAATAGCTATAGAGAGAAATGGTTAAGAAGCCCAGTAAACATCAAAGAAGGAAACAAACAGGCTAAGATTTATGTTGCAAGGTCCTTGACCCCGCACATCTTTTGTTTTATGTTAATTGACTATGCATAAATTACATAATCGCAATGCTTCTATTGGTTAGTTGTATGATCACACATAACCACCTTTCGTATTTTGCCAGGTTTTGTGCAAGGTAAACCCCCAGAATAGCCAACAAAAATATACAACAAAGAGCTTTGCCAGGTTTCATAACTATTCCGCTCTATTAAACATGCTGTCATATATCAACCGAGTTTCTAGCATATATATGAGTCGGACAATTCCTGGCTAAATCGTCAGTACGTTGTGGATGATTTGCATTAGGAAATCAACTATTTCCTCCTCAACGTCCCCTCTTACAACTAAATTCAACGAAATAATCGTGTTTGTGGGATAAAATATTGACCCGAGGTTACGTACTGACTTCTTGCAACAATTCCTGTTTATTGTAGCACCTCAAGTGTGGTTGATTGAGATATTATTTTTATTAGTTTCTTTCAATCGGGTCGATTTCAACAGAGGGTTTTTCTCNGAATGGGTGCGATGTAGCGGGAAAAACGCCAGCTATATAACAATGTCAATTATTAGATCGATATAGCGTTGAAATATGCAGATGAGAGAGAGAATAGCTGGTTACATTGAAATAAACTTTTGGTTGTGCGGAAGCTTGTCCTATTTAAATTTTCAGATACCTTCCGTCAATCTCTGTCCCAGCAAGTTTGGGTGATCGTGGTTTTAAATTCCATCATACTTAATAGCTATAGAGAGAAATGGTTAAGAAGCCCAGTAAACATCAAAGAAGGAAACAAACAGGCTAAGATTTATGTTGCAAGGTCCTTGACCCCGCACATCTTTTGTTTTATGTTAATTGACTATGCATAAATTACATAATCGCAATGCTTCTATTGGTTAGTTGTATGATCACACATAACCACCTTTCGTATTTTGCCAGGTTTTGTGCAAGGTAAACCCCCAGAATAGCCAACAAAAATATACAACAAAGAGCTTTGCCAGGTTTCATAACTATTCCCCTGTATTAACAATACTCTCATATATCAACCGAGTTTCTAGCATATATATGAGTCGGACAATTCCTGGCTAAATCGTCAGTGCGTTTTGGATGATTTTCATTAGGAAATCAACTATTTCCTCCTCCCCGTCCCCTCTTACAACTGCATTCAACGAAATAATGGTGTTTGTGGGATAAAATATTGACCCGGGGTTACGTACTGACTTCTTGCAACAATTCCTGTTTATTGTAGCACCTCAACTGTGGTTGATTGAGATATTATTTTTATTAGTTTCTTTCAATCGGGTCGATTTCAACAGAGGGTTTTCTCGTTGTTAATAAAAATTGTATCAGTGACTTTGAAGGGAGGTATATACTAACACATTAACCAACTTACCAGACAATTCTCTCTGGCGAATTTCTTTATTATCGATGCATTGCCAATACCCGTTCTTAACACCAAACGTTGCTGCTTTCTGACGCGAACAAGAACACGAACAATGACCTCCTTCAGATGCTGTTGGAGACAAATTTGCGTTAAAACGATTGCACTCATTCTGACGGCTGCAGTACGATCCTGGCAACCTAAAACTGTCTTGTTCCTCTTCAAAGCGTGATATTCTCACTAACGTCGATTCGGCGTAGATACAGACTATTTGATGTAACAAAAACAACATCAATAAAGTCCACATTCCACAATTTGTTTCTTTCGCCGTTGACAAGACTGATTTTTCGTAGTAAGCTGTATGACGTGATTTAAGTAATGTGCGTGCTT